TCTAGTCTAGCCTGGTATGTGACCTCAGGCATGTCACAGCCCCCACTGTGCCTCAGTTTCCTCAGCTGTAAAATGGGAATAATGTTGGCCTCCTTGGGAAAGCCCTCTGAGTGTTACCAATGGGGAGAGCAAAGGCTGGCAAGGACAAGTCTTGCCTTGGTCACGCGGGCTTGGTACCATTCCAGTGGGCGGATGGTGCCATCAGTTGCTTGATAGTGCTTTGTGTCCAGATGAAATCTAGTGAGGCAGTCCAGTGACAGACGGGTGAGTGGCTGAAAGTCAGTGGGTAGGGAACTGGGTGCCAGGCGGCAGGTCACTAGCAAATTCAGCATACGGGTAAGGGGCTCCCCATGCTTCCATTCCCAGCACTTGCAGAGTGCACAAATGACAAAGCTCTGCTCGCTTCCCCACCAGCCAAGCCATCACTTTACTCTGGGTCTTTAACACATGTTGTCCCTGGCCTTGGCTGGGCATTGCCTCAGGGCGGACCCAGCTCTCCTAGCCCAGAATCACAGAAGTGCCCAAAACGTGGGGTTGGCGATTCCCCACGCCTCCACTCCCAGCACTTGCGGGCAGAGTTTACAAATGACAAAGCTCTTCTCGCTTCCCCACCAGCCAAGCCATCACTTTATTCTGGGTCTTTAACATGTGCTGTCCCTTGCCTTGGCTGGGCACTGCTGCACAAAATGTGGGGTTGGGGGGCACAAGCACCCAGACCCATGATCCCCCACTCTGCTGTTCTTGCCCCAAGGCCCCCCCCCACACACACTGTCCCACCCACCCAAAATGCTCCTGAGCTACCTCTTCCTCCCAAGATCCACCCCCCACTTGTACTCTCCCCCTGCCATTGCCTGCCCTTACACACCTCTGGCCCCCCACCCTCTGCTCCATGCCTCTTGGCCCTGGTCTGCCTGACCAGGAGCTGCTGTTGGAGACTGGCAGGTTTTCTACCAGCTGATGCCAGAGCCAGGCACCCCCAGCACCTCCCACAACCAAATCCCCCTCCCTCAGAGACAGGCAACCCCAGAGGCCCCTCCTTCCCAACCAAATCCCCTTCCTTCAGAGACCGGCAACCCCAGTGCCCCCCTCCCAACCAACTCCCCCTCCCACAGAGCCAGAGGAACCGGTCAGGAAAGTTAATCTTATTTTTAAAAAAGGCTTGCCGGCTGCCTCTGCTCAGTGTGTTCCAGGCGGCAGCATGTGGCCCAGCTACCAGCTCACTGATCTAGTGTCAGGTGGGCCATTAGGGTGCATTAGGAGCAGCGGCAGATTTGGGGCAGGGTGGCGGGGCGGCTGCCCCGGGCCCCGCGCTTGCAGAAGCCCTGCGCATGCACCGTGTCAAAGGGGGGGGTGCCCCCACGAAATTGTGCTGCCCGGGGCCCCGCGGCACTCTGATCCGCCCCTGCCTGGCGCCCCCCTAGCGTGGCACCTGGGGACAATTGCCCCGTCCCCCCTTTGCTACGCCTCTGATGTGGGGTTGCCCTGGCTCCGCTTCCTCCTAGGGCTGGCCCTACCCAAGGCAGGGACTTGCTGGTTCAGGGAGGCAGGGAAAGGGGCAGGGGCCTGTCCCCTCTAGGGGGCACCAGCTCCCATCTAGCCCTGTGGGGGAAGGAATGTTTGGGTCAGGGGCAAGCAGGGATATGGAGAATCCCCTTGGGCCTCTCCCCAAGGGGATATGGACCAACCCTGCCTTTCTGTAGGGTATGTCTAGACTACAAGCCTCTTTCGAAAGAGATGGTCTAGACATCCACAAGACTGTTGAAAAAGTGATCCACATTTTCAAAAGAGAGCACCCTGGCAATCTGGATGCTCTCTTTCGAAAAAGCCCTGTTTGCATTCAAGAGCTCTTTTGAAAAAAGGCATTCTTCCTCATAAAATTATGTTTACTGCTGTCGAAAAAAACACCAAGTTCTTTTGATTTCATTTCAAAAGTATGCGATGGCAGTCTAGACACAGTTAAGCTTTTTTCAAAAAAAGGCTACATTTTTCAAAAAAACCTCTGTACTCTAGACATAGCCTAGGAGAGGGGTAGGGAACCTTATTTGGTTTGGAGGCCACTGTCCCACAGAAAAATCAGTTGGGGGCTGCACATGCGTGAAAAGCAACCCCCCAACTCCTCACTGATACCTCCCACTTGCACACCAGAGCCTTGGGAGGCCCAGTCTAGTAGATTTTGTGTGCTCCAGCTGTGTGTGAGCACGGTAGGGGGCTGGAGCACCAGCACGGGCTCCCCATGCTGAGGGTGGGGGGGGAGCCCCGAGCCTCAGGGGGCTGCATCTGGCTCCATGGACCTTAGGTTCCCCACCCCTGCTGTAGGAGCTAGCCCCATAACTCAATTTAGCTAGGCTGGGCCTGGAGGTGGGCAAGCGGATGGGACAGCTGCCATCCAATGCCAGATGATGAGCCTGGGGTGGGAAATCCTGGCATTGTATGTGCCTTAGCTGGCGTGGGGAGACAAGGTTTGTTGACCAAGAATATAGCTGTTTTTAAAGCTGATTAGGAAACACATCCTGATGTGAAATCAGAACAGGGCTTATGTGCAAGGAGAGTAGTGGAGGACTGCCCCGGCCTGCCCTCCTTAGCAGTTGCTTGCAGATGGTGAGAGGCCCTTCTGAGCCCCACTTCCCTGCAGGAGTGGGGGGGGGGGTTCTGTATCTTGCATATCTCATTGCAGCGAGCACTTGGATGTGACTCCCCTCTGGGCACATGGCATCTCTGTAGTGCTGCACCCCCTGGTGCCATGCTGCGGTCAGTGCTGTGGCAGGAGAGCAACCTCTGCTAAGCCCTGCCCTGCAGCTCAGCATCATGCTAGGGCAGGGATGGGCAAATCCTGGCCTGTGGGCCAGTGCCGCTGTATTTACTTGCACCTCCTCAGGCTCCTGTTGGCCGCAGATCACTGTTCCCAGCCAATGGGAGCTGTGGGAAGTGGTGTCCCGCGCTGTACTGCTTCCCGCTACTCCCATTGGCTGGGAATGGTGAATTGCAGCCAACAGGCACTGCAAGCACCCATACCAGTGGAAGTGCAGGTAACTATAGTGATGGCAGGCGGCTAGGAGTTAACCCTGGCAAATCACCACCATTTTATTGTCCAGCCCTACAGTAGGGCCAAGGGGGCTGTGCTGACAGAGAATGGAAACTGTCCTTTACCAATCCCTTCCCACCCCCCACACCACTAGAGAGAACAGATGCATCTATGCTTGGTGGTGCAGAGGCAGCTTTGGTAGAGACATATGCCCAATGCCCACTGGAGGATTCACCCTGGCAGAGTTCTGGGGGTAGCATCTAGAAGCAGTGATGTTGTAACAGAGCCCTTTGTGCCAGGGACTGCACAGATCACCATAGCTGAGATCAAGTTGGATCGCTGCAGGTGCCAGCCTGACATGTAGTGCAGTAGAGAGAGGTTCCCCTTCCTAGAAAAGCTCACAGTCTAAAGAGATAACCCCAACACCTGGTGGCATGGTTCTTCTAGTGTTGGGACCCTGGGGATTAGAGAGGAGTATGGGGGCACTCCCCAAATCCTCCTGCCCCATAAATGAACCCTTGCCCCTAGGAAGCAAACCATCCTAGTGGCCCAGGAGTTGTAGGAGTGGTGGCAATGTGGATTCCCACAGATGAACAGGAATGGCTCCCTGTCCCTAGAATACTAGAACCGGAAGGGATCTCGAGAGATCAAGTCCAGTCCCCTACCCTAAGGGCAGGACCAAGCACCGTCTAGATCAGGGCTATTCAACTTTGGAAGCCCTGGGGGCCACAATGATACAGCACATGCAGAGGGCCGCAACTTAAGTGCAGTTGCACGTACATGCAAATAAACATGTAAATAGCTTCTTTCACACCGAAGGGCATGAATACAATTTAAGGTAAGACTATACAACATGTAAGTCAGTTCTGCTAATAATAAATGCAATAGTTATCTGATTTCCACCCATTTGACAGCACTTTAATGAGCAACGACAGTCCAGGAATTTAACTACTACAACGCATCTCAACAGTAGACCATTATATTGACTCGCTATTATGGAGTATGTTCCCAGTGAAGGCCATGTTCAAAGGATCCCACCTGCGGGCTGCGTGTTGAGCCCCGCATAAATCCATTGTACGCATTTACACATTGCAGGCCACAAACAAACGGGCCACATGTTGAATAGTCCTGGTCTAGATCATCCCTGATAGATATTTGTCTAACCTGCTCTTAAATATCTCCAATGATGGAGATTTCACAACCTTCCTAGATAAATTTATTCCAGTGCTTAACCACCCTGACAGGAAGTTTTTCCTGATGTCCAACCTAAACCTCCCTTGCTGCAATTTGTCTTAACATCAGAGGTCAAGGAGAACAATTTCTCTCTCTCTTCTTTGTAACACTCTTTTAGGTACTTGAAAATTGCTATATTGTCCCCTGTCAGTTTTCTCTTTCCAAAATAAACAAGCTCAATTCTTTCAGTCTTCCCTCAAAGCTTATGTTTTCTAGACCTTTAATCAATTTGTTGCTCTTCTCTGGACCTTCTCCAATTTCTCCACATCTTTCTTGTAATGTGGTGCCCAGAACTGGACATAATACTCCAACTGAGGCCTAATCAGCTCAGAGTAGAGCAGAAAAATGACTTCTCATGTCTTGCTCACAACACTCCTGTTATTGCATCCCAGAATCATGTTTGCTTTTTTTTGCAACAGTGTCACAGGGTTGACTCATATTTAGCTTGTGGTCCATTATGACCTCTAGATTCCTTTCTGCAGTACTCTTTCCTAGACAGTCACTTCCCATTCCATGTATGACACGGATTGTTCCTTCCTAAGTGGACTACTTCGCATTTGTCCTTATTAAACTTCGTCCTATTTACCTCAGAGCATTTCTCTAGTTTGTCCAGATCATTTTGAATTCATCCTCCAAAGCACTGGCATCTCTTCCCAACTTAGTATCATCTGCAAACTTAATAAGCATACTCTCTATGCCATCATTAAATTGTTGAAGATATTGAACAGAACTGGTCCCAAAACGGACCCTGCAGAACCCCACTTGTTATGCCCTCCCAGCATGAGTGTACCATTAATAACTACTCTCTGAGAATGGTTATCCAGTCAGTTATACACCCACCTTATAGTAGACCCATCTAGGTTGCATTTCTCTAATTTACTGATAAGGTCATGTGAAACTGTATCAGTTGTTTTACTGAAGTCTAGGTATACCATGTCACTGCTTCTCCAAGACTTGTTACCTATCAAAGAAAGCTATCGGATTGGTTTGATCTTTGTTTTTTACAAATCCATGCTGGCTGTTCCCTATCACCCTGCCCTGGGCTAGCTAGCCAAATAGCATTTAGTGCCCCCAGCTTGGGATCTTTCTCTCACCTGCCAGCTGGAGGCAACAGCGTTTCTTCCCCCACACTGCTCTGGGCATCCAGAAAACACACCTGCCTGATCAGCTCGCTGCCTTAGGAGCCTATTTTGGAGTGGGGTGAACAAACTGTCAAGTGGGCTGTCCTTTCCAGCCACACTGCTGCAGTGGATAGGACGTTCATGTTGTCTGTCTCCTTTGCCTTGCCCAGCCTGGGCCCACTATTTCAGTGTGAGGCTGCGTGCGGCACCTGGCCCACTGGGAGCCCCCCGAGACTGGCTGAAGCCTTTGGGCACTACCAGCATCCAAACAATGAATTTCGAGTTTATGCTTCTCTGAACCTTTTTGCCACCGCCAAAGCTGCCCTGCCCTTGCAGATGTGCTATTCAGAAATGGGAGCAAGCTGCCCAGTGTATACACATATACACATGCACTCTGGGTGTGTATACACATGCACACTCAGTGTGCACACACAAGTATGTACACACAGTGCAGGAATTGTACTTACTCACCCCCCTCCCTACACACCACTCCTGTGGGCACAGGGCACTCCCTGTGAGACTCCTCCTGATGCTGCTGGCCTGCCCCGGTGCTTTGGGTGCTGTCATAGCACAGCCAGTCCTTGTATGTGCCTCTGCACACGGGCATTCATCCCGGAGGCAGGGCCCCCGGCTGGAGCCTGCCCAGCCTGGCACATGGCCCCAGGCCCCTCCCAGAGCACAGTAAGGAAAGAGGCAGGCCGCACTTTCCAAGCATTTACGTAACAAACCCAATCAAGGAGGCAGGTTAGTGGCTGGGCACAGAGCTGGTCCAATTATAGTGAGGGGAGGCTACAGCCAGGGGCAAACCCAAATACAGGCTGTAGCTCAGCAGCTGCCTGGCTGCCACTTTTCTGGTGAAACCTTAGCCCTAGCAGCCTTCGAGGCATGTCCCCCTCTGACATTCCAGCCCAGCTATGCTGGTGGGATCAGCTCCTGAGAGTGACATTGGGGGCGTGGAGGGGGTTTGGGACAGGCTGACGGCTGAGTTTGTGGGAGGGACCCAGCAAACAGGAATGTTCAGTGGCTCTGGGAGGGGTGGGGCAGGGCACAACACCTACCGTATGTGACATGGAGTGTGCCAACAGGCTGAGAGGTGCTCCCTCAGCAGTTAGTAGCAGCAGGAAGGGGGTGTCTGGGGATGTGCCAAGCAAAGGTCAGGGGAAACTGAGGCACCCTGGGACCCAGGCACCCCTCTTGCAGGAACTCGACTTGTGGAATGTAGTGATAGCCCGGGAGAGTAGTGGGGTGGTGGGTGCAGGGCGTCAGCCAAGACAGGGCACAGGCATTGTGACTGGGTGTTTGCAGGGCTGAGCTGCCGGGCGGTCCTGCCTCCGGAATGACCTATGCAAAGGGTTCAGGGCTGTGCAAACAAGCAAAGAGAGGGGGTGGAATGTAAAGTGTCAGTGTGGCTGGTACCCTAACCAGGCAGAGAATTGGTCCTGGTCCCCGCGCTGGATGCAGAGGGTCTCTAGTGGCCACCAGGGGAGCCCCGAGGAGGGTGGGGGAGGCTGGGGGATGTAGTAGGCAGCCCCCCATGTGTCTAAGTCCACACCTCCATGGGGATCATGCCTTCCTTGCTGTTGAGTGGGGGCAGGAGGTACTCTTCTGCCATGAACTCCAAGGGAAACTGCACCAGGTGGCCCTGCACCTGAGCTAGGTGTTGGCGGGCAAGCTCCGGGCTGACACAGGCCAGGTTCTGCACTGCTGCATACTCCCGCAGGGCCCGGAGAGACAGCACGGCATTGGTGGGAAGGCAGCGGAAAACCTGCAGGATGAGGTCATGGGTGAGAGCCTGGCAGGGCTGGAATCCACCCATAGGCCCTGCAGGCCCAGCTCTGTCCCCAAAGCCTTGCCGGTACCCCTCATTCCCGAACCGCAACCCCTGCCAGTCCAGCTCTCTGCTCCCTCCAGCTTTAATGATGCCTTGCTTCCTTCCAGCCTTGCTGGTGCCCCTCACTCCCCACCCACAGACCCTGCTAGCCCAGCCCTGTCAGTACCCCTCATTCCTGACCCATAGGCCCTGCCACCCCAGCCCCAGGTTCCCCACACACTTGCTCATAGATGTTGGAGTTGTTCAGGGCGATGCCTTTCCAGGTCTCATGAAAGAAGTGGTCGCTGACAGGATCCTGGATGTCGATGCTGCAGTTGCCCGAGGTTCCCAGGAGCGCCCTGCGGAGAATGACCAAGCACTGGAACGAGCCGCCCACATTCAGGTAAGAGGCTGCGGCTGCTGCCCAGCCCTGAGACAGGGCCTTGCACCCATGTCTCCAGCCCATCCCCCCACCTCTGCAGTAAGGGGCATGCTCAGGGTGAGGGTGGGATGTGTGGCCTATTCCCACCTGAAGCAGTCAAGTCGCAGGCTCAGGGCGAATTTCCCAGCCTGGTATGGCTCCCCATCCATGACAGATGGGACCAGCTCTGTGTCCTCCACCAGCACCGCCAGCTCACTGTCCCGCTTCCCCAGCAGGCTGCGGTCATTGATGTTGGCAGAGCCTGACAGGTCAAGGGTGGGATTAGAGCCCTGCCAGAGCCCTTCACTCCTGCTGCACCTGCTGTCCTGCCCCCCAGCTCTGCTGGTACCCCTTGCTCTGACCTGCAGCCCTTGCCAGCTCAGCCCTGCCCCATCAACCCTGCTGGGGCCCCCTGCTCTGACCTGCAGCCCTTGCCAGCTCAGCCCTGCCCCACCAACCCTGCTGGGGCCCCCTGCTCTGACCTGCAGCCCTTGCCAGCTCAGCCCTGCCCCACCAACCCTGCTGGGGCCCCCTGCTCTGACCTGCAGCCCTTGCCAGCTCAGCCCTGCCCCACCAACCCTGCTGGGGCCCCCTGCTCTGACCTGCAGCCCTTGCCAGCTCAGCCCTGCCCCACCAACCCTGCTGGGGCCCCCTGCTCTGACCTGCAGCCCTTGCCAGCTCAGCCCTGCCCCACCAACCCTGCTGGGGCCCCCTGCTCTGACCTGCAGCCCTTGCCAGCTCAGCCCTGCCCCACCAACCCTGCTGGGGCCCCCTGCTCTGACCTGCAGCCCTTGCCAGCTCAGCCCTGCCCCACCAACCCTGCTGGGGCCCCCTGCTCTGACCTGCAGCCCTTGCCAGCTCAGCCCTGCCCCACCAACCCTGCTGGGGCCCCCTGCTCTGACCTGCAGCCCTTGCCAGCTCAGCCCTGCCCCACCAACCCTGCTGGGGCCCCCTGCTCTGACCTGCAGCCCTTGCCAGCTCAGCCCTGCCCCACCAACCCTGCTGGGGCCCCCTGCTCTGACCTGCAGCCCTTGCCAGCTCAGCCCTGCCCCACCAACCCTACTGGGGCCCCTTGCTCTGACCTGCAGCCCTTGCCAGCTCAGCCCTGCCCCTGCCCAGCCTTGCTGGTGGCCCCTGCTCCTGACCTGCAGTCTCCCACTATGATCCCCTCTGCTGATGCCCTTCTGTCTTGTTCCAGCTGGGAACCAGGACTCCTGGGTTCTCTCCCCAATTAAGGGAGGCATGTGGGGTTCCGTGGGGGAGAGGCAGGGAGCCAGGACTCCTGGGTTCACACTGGAACACACCAATAATGACCCGGCGGTCGTCAGCGATGAGCATCTTGCTATGGATGTAGATCAGCTCAGTGGTGAGGGAACCAGACAGCTCCCCATGGGTGCGCAGCCCGCAGATGGAGATGTAGTTCTTCCACTCGTCCCCAACTGCCAGGGGAGAATGGGGGGTTATTTCGGGCCTTCCCCCAGCACTCGGAGTACATCCTTCACGGGGGGGTTTGGTCCTTCCTGGGCCAGCTGGTTGACCTCTGACAGCCCTCACACTTGTATTTTCCCCCAGCCCTGGGAAGGGAGCGGGAGCGGGTGGGTTAGGGCAGGGGCGCTGGGAGGCCAATACGGCAGTACACAGACAATCCAGGAAGTTTCTGGAGAATGTTGGGGATAACTTCCCGGTACAAGGGCTGAAGGAACCGACCAGGGGCCATGCGCAGCTTGTCTATCTGCTCACAAACAGGGAGGAATTGGTAGGGGAAGTAGGGCAGCAGTGATCAAGTTCATGATCCTGAGAAAAGGAAGAAAGGGGAGTAGCAAAGTGCACACCCTAGACTTCAGAAAAGCAAACTTTGACTCCCTCAGAGAACTGATAAGGAGGATCCTCTGGGATGCTCACATGAAGGGGAAAGGAGCCCAGGAGAGCTGGCAGTATTTTGAAGAAGCCTTATCGAACGTTCAAGAACAAACTATCCCGATGCACAGTAAGAAAAGCAAATATGGTAAGTGACTAGCTCGGCTTAACAACAAAATCCTTGGCGAGCTTAAACACAGAGGAAGCTTGGACAGATGACTAGGGAAGAGTATAAATATATTGCTCAGCCATGCAGGGGTGTAATTCAGGAAAGTCAAAGCAGAACTAGAATTGCAGCTAGCAAGGGCTGCCAAGGGTACCAAGAAAGGTCTCTACAGCCATGTTAGCAATAAGAGGGCGGTAAGGAAAGGTGTGGGACCCCTACTGAATGAGGGAGGTAACCTAAAAAGCTGACTAGATTGTTGGGATCAACGGCTTGATGTCCAGTTGGTCAGTTTCAAGCAGAGTGCCCCAAGAGTTGGTTCTGGGGCTGGTTTTGTTCAACATCTTTATTTATGACCTGGTTGAGGGGATGGATTGCACCCTCAGGAAGTTCTCAAATGACACTAAGCTAGGGGGAGAGGTAGATACGCTGGAGGGCAGGGATAGGGTCCAGAGTGACCTAGACAAATTGGGCCAAAAGAAATCTGATGAAGTCTGACAAGGAGAATTGCAGAGTCCTGCACTTGGGACAGAAGAATCCCAAGTGTTGTTACAGGCTGGGGACCAACTGGCTAAGTAGCAGTTCAGCAGAAAAGGACCTGGGGGTTACAGTGGATGAGAAGCTGGATATGAGTCAACAGTGTGTCCTTGTAGCCAAGAAGGCTAATGGCAGATGAGGGTGCATTAGTAGATCTAGGGAAGTGATTATTCCCCTTTATTTGGCACTGGTGCGGCCACATCTGGAATAGCGTGTCCAGTTCTGGGCCCCCATTACAGAAAGGAGGTAGATGTGTTGGAGAAACTCCAACGGAGGCCAACAAAATGGTTAGGGGGCTGGGGCACATGACTTATGAGAAGAGGCTGAGGGATTTGGGCTTATTTAGTCTGCAGAAGAGACGAGTGAGGGGAGATTTGAGAGAAGCTTTCAACTACCTAAAGGGGGGTTCCAAAGTGGGATGGAGAGAGGCTGTTCTCAGTAGTGACAGATGGCAGAACAAGGAGCAATGGTCTCAGATTGCAGCAGGAGAGGTCTAGGTTACATATTAGGAAAAACTATGTTGTGAGGAGAGTGGTGAAGCACTGGAATGGGTTCCCTAGGGAGGGGGTGGAATCTCCATCCCTAGAGGTTTTTAAGTCCCGGCTTGACAAAGCCCTGGCTGGGATGATTTAGTTGGGGTTGGTCCTGCCTTGGGCAGGGGGTTGGACTCGATGACTCCTGAGGTCTCTCCTATGACTCTATGATTCTCCCTGGCTTTGGAAGGGGAGTGCAGGCGAGTGGGTTAGAGCAAGGGGGGCTGGAAGTCAGGACTTCTTGGATCTCTGCTTGGCTCTGGGAAGGGAGCGGAGGCTGCTGGGTTACAGCAGAGTCCTGCGCTGCCCCCAACACTCACTGTCAGCTTTCAGGCGGCACAGGATGGAGGATTCGCCCCGGCAGAGAGTCCTGGGGAGAATCAGAGAGGGAGCTAATGAAATGGGCCCTTTTGCCCTCCCCCCAGTTCATCTTGTTCTGGGACATGGGTCCCCTCCCCACATGACACCAATTCTGGGCTCCCCTTCCCTCCACCCTGGGGCTCCCCAAAAATTCTCCAAATTGGCCTAGCTTGGGGCACCCCCTGGCAATCCTCCACACCCACAGACTGTTCCCTTCCCCCTTTACCGGTAGGTGAAGTGCAGGATGGCCTGGATGGAGTTTCCTCCCCCCTCAGCCATGTCCCCCTCAAAGCCGGGCAGCAGTGGCAGCAGCACAAAGACCCGAAACTGCGTCCCCTCGCTGCAGGGAGACAGGGTTGGATTAGCTCCCTGCAGGAGTGTCCTTCTCACCCACAGTGTAAGCTTTGTGCTCTCCCCCGCCCCCCACC